TTCAATTTCACTTCAACGAAAAGCACAACGAATGAGAAAATCTCATTCTTTAATTCTTTCTGCAACTAATGCACGTATCATCAATGCACCTGTTGCAAAATAGTGAATAAAATAGGGATTTGACTCTCGATGTGTATCCGTGAATAGGAATGAACCTGGCTGTCTATGTAAACAGGTGAAAATAAAACCAATTATACAGAGATTTGAATTAATTAAAGTGAGTTCACTTTGGACTTTCTCGGATCGTGAGCACGTAATTCGCAATTCATTATCTGCAAGGACACAACAGAGAAGCAAGAAAAAGGCGAAAAATTACCGCAAATGTGCAATAATTTAAAGCTCATAACTTCAATTGAATTATTAACGTGAAGAACCCGTGTATAATTTCATTGACCTCGAAATAGAACATTCCAAAACGTGGGTGCTTGTTAATAGGCCTGAAGTTCGGAGCTGACTGTTCGAAACAGATTAGAGCACAGAAGGTACAATGCTCAAAATACTCCCTCTCCTCCGTGTCGATTGGCCTGTTTTCTCAATCTCCAATTCACTTATTGGCCCTTTGCACGTGAAGATCGCGATGGTTATGCGCCTCATTCTCTGTTATTTTCCTTCATACGACTAAATTTGATTTATATGTTACTTCACACCTCGCTAAGGAGTGGTAATATAGTTTTGGATTTCACTCATTTGTAATAAAGTATTCCTGTTTACGTGCATATTAGTATTTTGTTTATCTAAACAAAAGCTAATTGCCCAAGCAGCAGTTTCGACCTGAGTTTTCCGGTCTTCAATATTTTTGAGAAAATAGTTTAGGAGTGAGAGCATCTCTTAAATCTCATCTCTATCCGTCTTTCGAGTTACCAATTAATCCATACTGATTACTGCGATAGACTAACCTCCACGTGGTGCAGCCTGGGCAAAATTCTATAAACCGGCAGTTGACTTCTCACTTTAACCTATCATGGCCTACTGCAAGTCATATTCGACCCCCATCACAGTACTCATTTTATCCTTTCTGAGCCTTTGTGTCTGTCTGTCTGTCTCTTTTACACCTATGAATTACTCTTCTATTCCCTCCTCTCCACTTTTGTGACTTTAATGGGATAGACTTACCTTCACGTGGTGCACCCTGGGCAACGTATTCTCATACGGCAAAAAAGTCTATTAACTGGCAGTTGACTTCTCACTTCAAACCACCATCACCCCCATTGTATTTCATATTCAACTACTTCCATAGTACTCATCTTACCTTTTCTGAGCCTTTGTGTCTGTCTGTTTCTTCTACATCTATGAATCACTCTTCTATTCCCCCTCCCGAATTCTTCTCACTTTGATGTACCTCCTTCCCTCTGTGAAGCCCGAAGTCAACTAAAGGGCTAATGATAACTATCAAAACGCCTACCATTTGTTATAGAAATGAAAGAAGTTGAAATTCGTAGCCACGTGAGCCAACTTAAACTCATATTCGCATGAAAGAAATAAATGTTTGCACGCTCAAAATTGCGAGGACAACATAAGGTCATTAGTACAAAATTTAATAGAATACAGAGAGGTAATAAATATATACAAGGTAGAGAAACTTCGTGAAAAATACTTAACTCGAACTTCTTCTGCGATATCGAGATTTTTCAGATCGGTATCCGCGACGATGTTTATCTAAAAGAAAAAGAAAGGATAATTTATTTGACAAAAGAAATTAGCGGTTCCCCACACACCCAAAGTATCAAGTAGGAACTGCCATTATCAGTTTGAAATCGGAGTATTTTAGCGTTTTTTATCAATAAAAATAAATTAAATCAGAGGCGATTGAAAAAGATACATGTCCAGTGTCCTTCTAAGTAAGGCTACGTTAAGAGCAGTCAAATATGGCATTTTGAGGCGTCTTAAATGCAGGACTCAAAGAGTGTCGTCACAAAAATTGCCCCGACAGACACTTTAAGACACTTCGAGCTTGTGAATACCAAACCAACCAACCAACCAAATTCAGCAGCAAAGTGACTCCGGGGTTGGGGGCTTTAGCCATGCCAGACTTTTGATTAGTAGCTTAACTCGGTGTTGAAAAGCTAATTGTATGTGGTTTAAATGGAGATTCAAGCAGCTGTTTGCTCAATGACTATTCATCCATAGATTTTGCCATAAAAAGGGAAGGATTCGCGAATTAATAGGGAAATACTACTATGAGGGGTGTGCGATAGACTTACCTCCACATGGTGCACATTAGGCAACGTATACTCATACGGCAAAAAGGTCTATTAACCGGCAGTTGACTTCTCACTTCAAACAACCATCACCCCCACTGTATGTTATATTCAACCCTTTCACAGTACTCATCTTGCGTTTTCTCTGGTCTTTTGTCTGTCTCTGTCACATCTGTGAATCATTATTCTGTCCCCCCCCCTCTCGACTTTTTGTCACTTTGATGTTCCTCCTCCTCTCTGTGAAGCCTGAAGTCAACTAAATGGCCAATGATAACTATCAAGATGCCTGCCATTTGTTATAAATAAATAAACACTACTATGTAATTTGATGAATGCTTCCCCTTCTCAACATTTATTTTGTGCTTCCTCCCTTTAGTGAAGAAAAATTTTATTACGAAATTGTTTTTTTCCGAAATAATTGAATGGCTGTGTACTGAAACACAGCTGATTGACGCGTTTTCTGAAAAGCCACTCTTTTCTGCAATTTTGGAACTTTATATATTGCCATTCCCCAAGTTCTTCCAGAAATGCCCTCGCAAATAGTCATGTTGAGTGGAAGAATGAAATTATAATACGTATGCCTCAAGTCAAGTAAATTAACACAAATCAAATGCCACGAAGAAGTAATTGGTTTCCAGAAAAGTCTCCAAATATAGAATGACCTGGAGTTTGCGATGCTCATCAAAGATAATTGTTGCAGCAATTCGCAGGCAAGTTACTGCGAGTTATAAGTGCAAACTCCACCACCATTCTCATTATGACCCCTCAAGTCTGCCTAACCCTTGGATTCCGCTGAAGTGCCCATAAAATTGATGTTCCCAGTACCCATAAGGCTCTATAATGCCTTTAACAATGAAAATGTGCGTAGAGACACTGGTAGACAAACTATCGCTGTTTAACTCTTTCGGCTTCAATATTAAACTCAAGGGAAGAACTCACCTCCATACTATTAATCAAGGAAATTACTAGGTATGTTAAAAGAATAATTTACAAAAGGTGAGTTTATCTTACCACTTCTGTCGTGTTTTTTGGCCCTTTTTCTTCGAGATGAATGAGAATCCTCAGAGTCCGAGAGAAGATATTCCATTCCCTCTTGTTCTCGATAAAATTCCACCCCTTCCGAACTCCTTTCTCGACTTCTCCTGCTTCTATCTCTACGGTCTTCCCTTCTCTTCTCCCTATCTTGATGATGCCGACGTTTAGAATTTGGACTAAAATTAGAAGGATGGGATTTCCTCGAAGCGTCTTTATCACCCTTATACTTAAACCACTCCTTCGCCACCGATTGGCTGAAATCAACATGAATACGTCTATCATCAATCACAACATTGTCCATCTTGAAGAAAGCCTCTTCACAATCTTCTTTATTGGCAAATTCAATGAAGGCATATTGAAGGGAGTTGCCCGTTTTCCTATCATAGATCACTTCACAGGAGAGAATCTCTCCAAATCTGCTAAAAATAATCTCAAGATCCTCAGCCCGAGTGACTGGATTAAGTCGACAAACGAAAAGGACATTCTCCGGAGGTTTAGCATCCACTTCGGGTAAATCACCTAGAAGTGTGAGGAGTTGAGCGTTGGTTCGCGCCTCCTTCATGGCCTCGCGCTCTGCTCGTTCCTCTTCGGTCAATTCTTTTCCATCACCATCGCCTTCTAAATCTTCGTCTTCTTCAATTCGCGGAGGAGCTAAGCTGTCCATATCCTACAAGAAGGAACATCTCAATTTTTCAAAAACAAGATCGTAAACTAAGAAATATAAATTGCGAGTGCCGTAAAATTGGAAGAGCCAAAAGGTAAAGAGATTACTTTTAATGTAATTATTTTTCATGAGTCTTAGAAAGGGAAAAGGGAAGAAAATCAATAAAAGACTTACAAGAACACTGAACTTAAGTCCAAATATTGAACCAAGTAAAAATTCGCAAGTGTTATAAAGATAAAACTAATTCGAGGTCAGTAAGTGACGGCGAATTATATCAAATCGCTTCAATTAGTGTGCAATATTAGGCAAAAGACAATTAGACCAAACTGGATATGACAATTAGTTTAACAGTTAATTTTTAAAAAAAGCAATGCATCACCTCATAGGATTTGTAGTACTTCGGCGATGAAGTTGGTATTTCAAGGCCATCAGGATCCGGATAAGGATCATCAAGAACAATCGATCGGCGTAAGCGGATGTTTCTATAGGGCCGAGACTCTTTGTCACAATAAGCATCGTTAATTTTGGACAAAACTTCTTCTCCTTCAGTAACAACGCCAAATACAGTGTGCACATTGTCAAGATAATCCAAATCACCAGCGAGAGTAATGAAAAATTGTGACCCATGCTGACCGCTACCATTATTAACCATGGAAACTAAACCGCATTTCTTGTGAAATATTTTTGGAAGTGGTTCACTGTCAAAGTATCGAGCCTGTTCGCCGTAAACTTGCTCATAAATCGAGCTTCCACCACGACCTGTACCGGAAGGATCACCAGTTTGAGCTACCAGATTTCGCTGCACGCTGTGAAAAAGACATCCGTTATAATAATTAACTTTGCACAATTTCAGAAAATTAAAAGAACATCGCGGACGTTCTTCTGTGTATAAATCAATGACGAGTCTCCCTAATGATGTTTCGAAGAGGACTGACATTCCGATAATGAATTAGAAATTTTGACAAAGTTCAACCCGCGTAAATTTAGGTTTCGCATGAAAAAAATGCCAAACTAAAACGATATGAATATTAAAGTTGCAATAACACCAGACCTTTAAATTATCTGATTATTAAATATTTTATATGTAGAGAATATTTATTTTAATGACTGTGCGGGGAACTAAGTCGATATGCTTTTTAATAAAATTATATACGAAGGAAACGATTGTTAATGTTGGCTGCATTATAACAAATTTCTTTGGTTCCAAAACATATTTGAAGTTTAAAAGCTTGTATTTTACTTAACTTTTACGCCGTCATGCTTTCCGTACACTTTCATTTACTTTTACTGAGTTCAAAACCGTTTTTTCTTGTTCTCTTTCGCCGTCGTGTCAGCAGAAATTTAAATTAGTTGAACCGTCTCTAGATTTCACACTTTTGTCAAGTTATTCATCAAAAATTATTGGCATATCAATTACTAAATTTAAAAAAATATTTAAAACAATTTTCATATTGCTCAAACAAATGTTCTTAACAATTGACATGGGATTATCCGGGCTACCCTTAATGAATATACAACTCTGCAACATTGGGGCTTACGTATTCTACACACGATTATATTTCACAATCGAACACTCAAGGGGGTGCCTCTGTGCACAAAGAGGGCTTCTCAATTATTATTATTATTAATGTTCATAAAGTTATGTTCGATGGATTCAAGTATTAAGTATCTTAACTGAGATTATAATTCCATTAAACGCTCTCTGTTTAGCAATCCGCTACAGCATAGAGCAAAAACTGATACAATATTTATTTATATCAAATGGCAGACGTTTTGATAGTTATCATTAGCCCTTTAGTTGACTTCAGGCTTCACAGATGGGAAGGAAAATCAAAATGAAAAAGGTCGAGATGGGGGGGGGGAATAGAAGAGTGCTTCAAAGATGTAAGAGACAGACACAAAGTTGGAAAAAAAGGTGAGGTGAGTACGGTTGAATTAGTCGAATTTGACATACATTGGGGTGATGGTAGTTTGGAGTCTGAAGTCAACTGCCGGTTAATAGACATTTTTATGCCGCATGAGTATAGGTTACCCGTGGTGCACCACGTGGAGGTAAGTCTACCGGACACCCCAAACTGATTCAATATAAATCTCT